GAGAGAGAAAACTTTACACTTAAAGTAATTACTGATAGATAATGACTTAGAATTGACACCTTGTTAATTGTTTTCTGGCTGTTTTGTCCTTCCTTCCTTCCTCCCTCCCTCCCACCCTGCCTGCCTTCCTTCCTGAATTGCTGATTTGCCATAGAAGTATAGTTTGATTCCCTTCTCTTTACCTTTTGAGTATCCATGATAGGTTTTTGTTTTGTGTTTACTCTGAGGTTTACTTGAAATATGTTACAGATATAAAATTCTTTTAAGCTGATAACAATTTAACTTTATTTGCATAAAAACTCTACTATTTACTCTGCCCCAAAATCTTATGCTTTTGATGTCAGAATTTATATCTCTTTATATCATATATCCATTGACAATAATTACAGCTATAACTATTTTTAATACTTTTTCCCTTTAACCTCTATACTAGAGTTAAGTGATTAACACATCACTATTACAGTATTGTGAATCCAACTATATACTTACCTTTCCAGAAAGGTGTATTGCATATTTTCATGTTTTCCTGTTACTAATTAGTATCTTTTCATTTCAGCTTGAAGAACTAGCATTTCTTCCAAGGCAGGTCTTATGGCAAAGAATTCGCTTTGCCTTTGTTTGTGAGTCTTTATCTCACCTTCATTTCTGAAGGACAGTTTTGCTAGGTAAAGTATTCTTGGGTGGCAGGGGTTATTTTTGTTTTTGTTTTTTCTTTCAGCAACTTAAATTTATCATCCTACTCTCTCCTAGCCTGTAGGATTTCTGCTGACAAATCCACTGATAGCTTTATGGTGGTTCTCTTTTAAGAGGAAAAATTTTTCTCTCTTGCTACCTTTGAAAGTCTCTCTTGTTTTTGCTTTTAGACAGTTTTATTATTGTTACGTGTCTTAGAGAAATCATTTTGGACTGAAATTATGAGATGAACTATTATTAAATGATCTTGGATGTCCAAATCTCTCCCAGGTTTGGGAAATTCAAAAGCCATTATCTTTAAATAAACTTACTGCTCCTTTCTCACTCTCTTCTCCTTCTGGGACTCCAGTGACATGTACATTGTTTCTTTTTATGGTGTCCCATGAATCCTATAGGCCTTCTTAATTCCTTTTTTTTTTCTTTTTGTTCCTCTGCTTAAGTAATTTCAAATAATCTGTCTTTGAGCTTACTGATTTTTTCCTCTGCTTGGTCCCTTCTGCCGAAGCTCTTTATTGAATTCTTCAGTTCAACCACTGTATTCTTTAGCTCCAAAACTTCTGGTTCTTTTTTATCTTTTCTATACCTTTGTTGAAGTTCTCATTTTGTTCTTGTATTGTGTTGCTGATTTCATTAAATTGTCTCTCTGTGTTCTCTTATATTTCTGAGTATCTTTAGAACAATTATTTAAATTTTTTGTCAGGCCATTCATGGATCTTCATTTCTTTGAGGTCAGTTGCTATAAGTTTACTGTGTTCCTTTGGTAGAATCATATTTCCCGGACTCTTTGTGATCCCTGGAGCCTTGCATAGGTGTCTGTGCATGGGAAGAAGCAGTCACATCTTCCAGACTTTATGGGCTGACCTCAGGAAAGGACCTTCATCTGTAGGTGAGACACAATGGAGCATGCTATGACCCTCGGTCTAGTGATGCCAGGCACCAAGTGCAGAGTCATGTGGAAGACCCAGATCTGGTGAGTGTGATGACTCCTCAGGTCAGGCCACTGGGGCCCACAACATTAACTCTGTGGTCCTTTGAAGTGCTAGGGTCCTTGAAATGGCTGCAAGTGCTGTTGGCATCTTCAGTGGTGCCTCCAGGTCCAGTACCTAGGGACCAGGAACAGGCAGTGGTTGTTGCTAGAGCTGGTGTCATGCATACACACAGTTGCAGGGGTCAGCTGCAGGTGCCTATGTAGTGGCAGGGGCTGGTTGCAGACATACATATAGTTGGGGAGGGCAGGGCCAGCAGCAAGGACTAGGACTAACTGTAGGTGCATTGGCACTGTGAGGACCCTGGCTGTTGGCATGCACTCCTGTGGCTACAGACCTTGGTCGTGTGCACAGCAGTGGAGGCTATTATGGGAGTCAGGCTGGTTAGATGCAGGTACACAGCTGGAGGGGCTGGTTGCAAGCAAGCCCAACTGTGTGAGTCAATGACAGGAAACAGGGCCAGGACCAGGCCTACAAACAGCTGTGGGGACCCTGGCTGTTCAGTGTGCATTCCTGTGACTGCAGTGTCTCCCTAAGACATATGCACGGCAGTGAGGGCCAGTACAAAATTCAGGCCAAGGGCTTGCAGGTGCACAGCTTGGGAACCAGCTACAGGTCAGCCCTGCGGTGGCAGTGGGGTGAGGAAGGGAGTGGAGAGGGACTCAAGCAGCTGCTGTTTGTGAATGTGAATACCTGTGTGTGGGGGGAAACAGTGAAATTTGCAGGGGAGGTCTGCAGCTGCTATGTTGGTTGTTGGTTTCTTCAGTGGTAAAAACTACTGGGGCCCTCTGCAGAGCAGGTCACTGGGAACCATAGTAACTCCCACTGTATGACTGATACTGGTAGCCCTAGCCCTTCTTCCTTGTTCCTAGCTGTCTTTATGCATCTCCGCTTTGCTGGTGTCTGCATGGAGTAAAACCAATGCAGGTCCTTCTTGTAGTGGCCCAAAAGGCTGGGGAAGCTGCTGGTTCACCACTCTCCCTCTCCCAGCAAGGGGGTTTCCCTCTTGGCAGTGAGCAATGCTGGCCTACAGGATGGGATGAGGCAGGCAAAATGAAACTGCCCGCTCTTCCCTTTTTGTGTGGTTATTCTCAGGTTTTGTAGTTGTTGTTGTTCTACAGTGTTGTGGAAGTTTCTTAGAAGAATTCCTAAACTCTCCCAGAGCTGTTCTTGTTCATGGGTAGTTGTCTAACTGTGGGAAGAAAGAGGCTGGGATCTCCTACTTTGCCATCTTGGTGACTTCCAGGTCTTTGCTTTCTGAAATACAAGGCTATTCTGCCAGCCCTCCTCAGACCACTTTATGGTGTCATTAAAAGATCAAACACTAGATGGCAGGAGCTTTGTTTTCACTTTTCCTCTTCCTGACTTCCTTTTAGAAGTTGGGCAAATCACATACCTTCTAGTTCCTAGGAGGTTTTCTATAAAATAAATATAATATTTAATAGCAAGGTGCTGAACTAGGTATATATTCTTGAGGGTCTTTTAAGTGCTAGTGTCAGATTTTATATAAAAACCTTCCCTCCAATAACCAAAATTTTTCACAATTCTTTTCCTATACCTCCACTGACTTTTTACATAGTCTGTGAATTTTGTCTTGAACTGTTATATGTAATGCAACTAAAATGATGATTTAATAAAGGCTGAGAAGGCAGCTATTGTAAAATATATTGGTGTGTTTTAACACCGTTTTTGTGTTGTATGATTTGTTCAATTCAATTCAGGAGTTTTTAGGACAAATAGGAAGGGAAAGTCATAATGTTTAGGAAAATAATTTTGATAAGTGAAGTCAAAAGAACCTCTACTAATCTCACACCTATTCCACCAAAGCATAGATCAAGTTGGAGCAATAAGAGCAGCTCAGGAAAGAAAAACACAGAGGTTTGATGTCAAAGACAACCTTATCTATTATAAATATATGTCATTAATTCTGAAAGCAATTCTCTTCAAGATTTTGCATATTTAACAATTCTTGATGTTAGTATTTGTCATTATCTGCTCATGAATCCTTTTGTAACTTACATTTTGAATTAAGAGTAGTTTGATACAATGAACAGTCTTTGAGAGGTTTGGTTAATTTGTCATGGACTTTTTTTGGAGTTCTAAGGTTTTCAAATATGTTTGTAGCCTATCAAGTTATGCAAAACTTATAAACATTCATCTGAAATGGTTTTTAAAATCGTGTCAATAGCAATCCTTTTTTAACCATGTCTGCTATAGAATCATGGACAAAACAGAGCTTATGATAAATATGCTAAAGTTAATATTAGTTTTCCTCCCCACTTTTAAACAGTTGTTTTTTTTTTTCTTTCCAGACAGTGCCTCTCAACAGTAATCAAAAAATATGACTTCCACCTGAAATCCCTATTGAAAACCCAGGTATTAACTTTAGTTACTTCACCTGTCAATTCCACAAGCATCTATTAACCATTAACTCTTTTTCTAAAACTTAACAGTTTTCTGAAGATACAAAGATGAATAAAATAGAAGGTCTATACTTGAGCAGCTTTCATTCTATCATGGCAAAACAGACAAGTAAACAGACATGCGTTAATAAAGTGTCATAGCTACTGCGAAAGATCTATGTGTATATAGGGCACAAAAAAAAGTTATCAATTTTACCTATTTGATCTGAATATTGAAAAATGAGTATGCCAGGTAGGGAAGTGGCACGGTGAAGGAAGGTGGGGAGTGGGGATAACTTTCAGCAAAAAAACACCATAAATAGAAGCAGTTAGGAAAAAGTCTGCTATGATTTGAAAACTGTATGAAATTTGGAATGGCTACAATTAGGGTTCAAGGCCTGTAAAGAGACCAGATGAAAGGGGCAAGCAGGGGCTGTTATATAGGATCTTAAGGACACTTTATGGACAATTTAATGACTTTCTAATTTATCAGCTGATGACATGGAGCCATTATGCAAGGCAGTAGAATGACAGATGGGTGATTAGAGGAGCATTTCATTAGCCCAAAGAGATGATGAGGGTATTGACAAAAACTCTACAATAGGGGTGGGTAGGAGGGGACAAATTCATAATAGGTAAAAATATGCAACTTATATGATTTGGTGAAAGACTATGAGTAAAACAAAAGAAGAGAGTGTCTAGAATACCTCCACATTCCTGGCTGCTAACTGACTGCATAGAGACATCAGTTCACTAAAATAGCAAAGAGAAGAGAAGCTAGCTTGACATGGAAAAATGACGGATTTAGTCCAAGACTACTAAGATTTGGTCGCCAACGGGGCATCCAAAGTGTGGTCACCATTAAGCAGATCATTTCTTATAGCTTATTCTTCCAGGGAAGGGTTAATCTTCCACAGATAAAACAACCTATGATTATAGAAAATTGTGTAAGACAGTGGTTTTTTTTTTAAGATTTATTTATTTATTTGAGCGAGAGAGAGAATGGGGGGAGGGGCAGAAAGAGAAAGGAGAGAGAAACCCAAGCAGACTCCAAGTTGAGCACAGAGCCCAGCACAGGGCTCGACCTGAGCCGAAACCAAGAGTCAGACAACCAACCGACTACACCACCAGGCGCCCCAAGACAGTGGTTTTAAAACAAGTAAGGATTTCTTTTTCCATTAAATAATTGACTCCTGATATATATATGAAAAGATAAAGAACCTAGGTAACTAAAAGATTCTGAAAATAACAAATAATATTTCTTGATGAAGATACCAAACTCATGTGAATTCCACATAAATATTCAAAGACACAGTGATAACAAACACACAACTCATATACTCTTCCAAAGTGTAATCTTCTCATTCTAATTCCATTTTTCTTTCTTGAGCCTGGCTTAAATCTGGAAGTTCAAAATGTGAAATGTGAAAAAAACTCACAGATTGGTTTGTCTCATAAAAGTTCATAATTAGTACTTCTTTCAGTTTGATTCTTCACATTTGTGATAGTCATTCTTTCTAATGTAGAATTTGAAATTTACCAGGCACCCAAAGCAAATGAAGACTTCATTCCTAGATCATTTGTCTCTTGACTATATGGAAATATATTTTTATACTTATGAATGAATTGTAATTACCTAAATGTCTTGGTACTGCTCATGTATCAAAAATGCCTTTTTATACACACACACATACACACACACAAAAATTGTTGAGAATTTGTAAAGTTCTTAATTTCTAAGAGGTTTGATCATCTTACTCATACATAAAGCCTCCAATATTTCCACTTTAAAAGAATCCATTGATTCTTGTAAATTTTTCCAGTATGAATTAAAAGTTGGCAAAACATCAAATATCTACTATCTTTACATTAACACTGGCAAATAGTTATCATCACCCGCATCTGAATTATTTTATAAATAGGCCACAGAGTCTGTGATTTTCAGATGAACTCTTTCAAAACAATGAGCTTTTTAAATGTGATTCTTCCTATGAAGTATCACTGGTAAATATCTGAGAAGTGAGGACAGACTGTGATATGATCAATTCACAATTTTGTGCTTCCTATTTATTTGAAAATTGCATTTAGTAGCATTTCATCAATGTTGAAAGCAGTACTAATTTGAAAAACAATTTTTTAAATATTTCCCAAACTTGGATTATTAAACATATTTTTTTAAAAAATAGCAAACATGCAGGCTGAATAAATATGATATGAATATTATTGAGTAATATGGATAATTTAAATTTTCAAATATTTTATTTCCCCAGCCATTGTCATTTAACATATTTTAGACTTGACTTATTTCAGATTGGACATTCTGATTATTATGTTTGCTAAATAGATAGTTTTGTAAGTAGTTTACATAGAACTTTTCCTTTGAACATTTTCTTCCTCTCACCTATTCCACTAATACCCAGAAAGGTAAGGAATATTTTCTATATTCATCCTATATTCTGCATTCATCTCTAATATTTCAGAGAAATTAAAAATAGAAGAGAAAGAATTTTCCCCCTAAGATATTACTCAATGCTTACTTAATGCAAATTAGTGAACTATTTACTCACTGGAATCAAGAGAAATGGAAATCAGAACCATACTCTGAAGTTGCTGATGATCTAGTTGGAAAGACAGCATATTCACACATATAATATACATACAGAGCAAAGCAGTGTAAAACAAGATTTCAATCTATGTGCAAGAATCAACTTCTAATTCAAAGTGCTTAAGCACTGTCTCTAAAATTTTTATTACAATGCCAAATAGCCCTTTAGAGAAAGTTAACAATCCTACCACTGATGATAAACTTATACTAGAATCTAGTAACTGGTGAACTAACTGTAAACTAGATGGAAATTGATTGAGAAAAATCTACTCATGCTTCAAAACATGGTTTGGCTTCATGAAATATCTTCTTGGTCTACAAAAAGCTATAAACCTCCAAACACTTTACCATCTAGCTCATGACTCAGAGAGTGTACCAACTAGATAACAAGAATGACATCTCTATTATTCAGGTGTAAGTAACTCAATGAGTAAGGAAGAATAATAATTATCTCACAGTTTCCTCTCCCTGAGACCAAAATCCAACTGTATTCAGCCTCTAGACAGAGTCTAAAAATTCCATATACAAATAGAAATAAAGGGGGCACAAAGGGATCTTATATATTTAGCTTTATTAGAACTGAAGCTCTTTTAGTAACAGGTAGATCTATTATTGGATTTTAGAAGTTCAATTCAAACATAATTTAAACAGAGTGGCAGTAAAGACAGAATTTAGGAGCAGAGATTCCAAAGTCAGATATCTGTATGACAGCCCTCCATCACTATGGAAGTTTTTATTCAACTTTCCTAGAGTTCATATTATTCATCACTAGAGTGAATATAATAAAATATAATGATATTTTTTAAAATTAATAAAAAGTGGATGTGATGTGTTTAATATAACATAGTGGTTTGAAGATAAAAAGTGTTCAAGTAAAAATAAGTACAAGTATTATTTTATTGCTATGAGAGTTACTATTTTTAACACTATTACTAAAGTAGAGGACTGTACAGGATCCAGAAGAAAAATGTCAAAAACTGATTTGCATTCACAATAGAATATAAGAAGAGGTAGAAAAGGACCAAAAAAATCATAAGAAGAAAATAGAAGGACCCAGTTAAAGGTTACAAAAGAAGTCAAGGAGATGAAGGAGATAAAGTCAGGTCACAAGGAAAATAAAACACAACTGCAGAATTGGAACCTGCCTTAGCAGAAATAAAGCGCATACTGAAACTACTAAAAGTCAAACCTATTATGTATAGAACACTCTCAGACTTAAAGAATAAAAAAAAAGAAAAAGCGAAACTAGATTTTCAATAAGGAAGATAATCACTAGCCAACATAATTTGTATTCCAAGTGAAATGGAAAGCACTGACGGGTTCCGTCAAAGGAATAACATGATCTGACATTTTATTTGGGATTTATGCAGTGAATTATATAATACATGAAAAACATATAATAATATATATACAAATTAAAGAATAATATCAGAACAGGCATTCTTATTTTTTTTTTAAGATTTCATCTATCTATCTGAGAGAGAGAATGAGAGAGAAAGAGCACATGAGAGGGGGGAGGGCCAGAGGGAGAAGCAGACTCCCTGCCGAGCAGGGAGCCCGATGCAGGACTCGATCCCGGGACTCCAGGATCACGACCTGAGCCGAAGGCAGTCGCCCAACCAACTGAGCCACCCAGGCGCCCCAGAACAGGCATTCTTATTAAACAACAAGTTTAGCAACAAAATATTGCCAGTATCATAGGATCTGCCCATGTGCCATGAACGTTGGGGTCCCTCTTTTCACTACATCTGTATCTACATAAAAGGTAATCTTTGGAGAAAAGTGTTCTGTAGCTTTTCTTTTCACCACTTCATCTTTTCCCATTTCACTATCAAAGGATATCTATGCATTCATTAGCAATATAAAGTTTAGGTTTCCTTTTTAATATCTACCTAAATGGAATCAAGCTATATAAAGTTTTTGAGCCATGTATCTTTCACTCGTTGTTTTCAGATTTATCCGCCTTGTTCCATGTGGTTATGATTTGTTTCCATTGTTATATGGTACTCATTTAGATCAAAGAACCTCTATGTATTTATCTATTCTACTGTTGATGTATACTTGAGCTAATATCAAGAATTTTTCTAGGGTATATACCTAGGGTCATAGACCCTTTTCTAATAGGGTCACATGTATTTCATAACAGATGAGAGTTCCCATTGCCCCATTTTCTCACCAACGTGTGGTACAGTCCAACCTTTTAAAATTTTGCCTAAAGAGGTGTATGTTTTGATCATATTTCAGTTTTAATTTTCATTTCCCTGAATATGAAAATTCATTATTCTTTACTTTTTAAAATAAAACATCAAACTGTCAATCTTTTTATTCCTGAAATATTATTTATTTTTTAATTATGTTCAATTAGCCAG